GGGTTCCCTGTGGACATCTGGCTCATGGGCTTTGTCCCAATGTGGTGTGGTGGAAACACGGACTAAGTAGGGGATCTGGAGACTAGCTGCCCCTTGACCTCTCTGGACCTCGAGTTCCATGCTCTGAAAACAAGGATGTTAAATTAGATCTGATTCTTTCCAGTTCTAACCCCACAGCAGCTCTCACCTGGCCATTCTGTTGCCCTCTAGGAAGTCATTGAGGTAGGGAGGATGGGCAACACGAAAATTCTGTTTGTTTTTCTTTTCTTAATATAAAACGTTCCCTTCTTGGGGGAGGGTAAGGAGGTGGAATGGTTCTAGAAACTCCCAAGGAATGTTTTGAAGGCATCCTGGTTCAAGGATTGCTAGGCAGCGTGGGCAAACAGAGTAACCACAGCATCCAGAGGCTTCTGCAAGCACACACACCTCCTGGAACCTCAGGCGCTGCTGAGGCGGCTCTGGCACAGGGGCAAGGCAGCAGTGTGCACACCTCTCAGACTGGGGCAGCAGCCCGCAGGCACTACAGATGTTTCCTTGAGAGCCCAGACCTCTACAAGCATCGCTATGAGGCAGTGGCACATTCTGGGGCATTTGAATGACTTCCAGACCTGTGGGTACAGCTGTGATCTCAGTCTGTTTGCATTAGCAATGGCAGAGGGCGCTGAGCAGGAGCAGCCCTTCCTTGTTAGGAGCTGGTGACAGATGGACTCAATAACGACAGGTCAAATGGCAGCACAATGCACTGTATACATGGTGGGGAATTTTAACCACGCAGCAACAGGTGCAGGTTAAATTCAAAAGAACCTGCCCAGGTGGTGCCCTACAAAGGCTCCTCTGCTCATTCATTCAGCAGCAACACCATCAGACCCCAGGAACACAATGAGAACACTGGCAAAAACTGTCCAAATAAATAAACGTTTCCAGAGCTCCGGAAATTAACTAAAGGCTCATAATCCAGGGAGTGTTGAAGGAAACTGGCCGAATCTCAGAGCAGCAAGCATTGTGGCATTTTTACTTGCCCTATTCACAGCCCTCCAATCCTCTGCCCCCAAGCTCCCTGGTAGCCTTGAAAGCAACAGCAGCAATCCCCATAAAACCCAGCAGCTTAGCAGCCACAGGAAGGGTCAAGTTGAGGTTGGAGCTCAGTAACCTCATTTGCCTGGTCTGGTGGTCCTACCTGCAAGGCTAGCCTGTGACCTGACTCTGAGCTTGGCTCACCCAGCACTTTCTCCCTGGGGTGTCAGGGATTGCTTGTCAAAACAGGGATTGTCAAAACAATCAGCAGCAATTTCGGTTGACACTGGGGCAAACAACAAGCTAACAAAAACTGGAAAATGAGACGCCCACAGGGGGCCTTGAGAAGCCATTATTTCTGGGGTTACACAAGAGCCTGCAGGCTCAGGGCTGAGTGCTGCTCAGGAAATACCCGAATAAGTTGGATGAGTAGAAGTGCTGACAGCAAAACTCTCCCCCCAACTTTTATACCCAACAAGACTATCCTTGAAAAATAAAGAAGACATTCCCAGATAAACAAAACCCAAGATAACCCATTGCTAGCAGACCTGCTCTATAAAATATACCAAAGGAGTCTTTCAGGCTGAAAGAAAAGGACACTAGACAGTAACTTGAATCCAAATGAGGCGTAATAATGGGCACCTGTAAAGGCAACCACATAAGCATGTAGAAAAGACAATATCAATATATTTTCTTATTGCAACTTCTTTTCTCTATTTGATTTAAAAGGCAACTTCATAAGCAAATTGTAAGCCTGTGCTGATGGGCATATAATATATAGATATGTCATTTGCATGACAATAGCACAAATGAGAGAGGAACTAGAGCTAAGCTTTTGTATGCTATTGAAATTAAGTTGGTATGAATCTTAACTAGAGTATTATAATAAATTAAGATGCTAACTATAATTCCCAGGGCAACTGCTCATAACTTACACACACAGAAACCACAAGGAAATTAAAATGGCACAGTAGAAAGTATTTCGTAGGCTCTGTGCTAGGAGGAGCTTGGAATCCAAGATGTTTGAGACACTGTCTCCACTCCAGCCAAATCTAGTTGAGTAATACACAACATACACAATACAAGGAACAAAAGTGATGATCAGTTATGACACATGCTGTACCATGTAAGACGAGAGTGCTTGGATAGATTCAAATAGAGGGGTGCTTCAGGCCATCCTAGAAGCCCCTGAGAAGAGAGAATGTTGAGCTCTGAAGGCTGAGAAGTCTCAGGAAGGGGTGTCCAAGGCAAAGGGAAGAGCCCCGGAAACCCCCATGGCTAAGAGAGCTTTCTGGCTCTGGAAACTGACCAAGGCCACTGACCAGACAGGGTTCAGCTAAGCAGCAGCAAGGTCATGCTGTCTTGAGGCTGGGACACACAGATTTGGCACAATCATCACGGAAGGATTTTAAGCAAAGGAACTACATGATACTATTTTTACAAGCTGGCTTTGGCTGGGGTATAGGGGCTTAGAGGGTGTGCCATTGCAGACCAAGACACAGTGGAGACAAAAATGGACAAAATACAAGGTAGATTTTTGAAGGCAAGGCCCTTAGGATTTGTTGATGGACTGGATGAGGAGTATGAGGGAATGGATAAAGAACAGCTCCCAGATTGCTAGTTTTCATATGGACCCAGTGAATAATGGTGTCATTTCGTGAAACACTAAGTCCAACGGAGGACCAGGTTTCCAAGGAAAATCAAGAATTCGGTTCTTGATTTTTGGACATAGTCAACCTGAGATGCCTACAAAACAGCTAAGTAGAAGAGTCTGTCAAGATCAGCCTGGAGCCCCAAGAGGTCAAGGTGGGAGACATTTTGGACTCTTCTGGCTACACAGAGTTAAAGCTATGCTTGAAGAATATCAACGCAGAGGGTGTGGGCAGGAAAAAAGGCCTGCTGAGAAGTTTGATACAAAACAGCCAAGGAGACTGATGTACCAGCAGAGCTGGCAGGCCGACCAGGAGATGGTGGGGTAATGACACAGGGGAGATGGCGGTGAACTGTGTGGAATGCTACAGAGAGGTCAAGAAAGCAACCAGAAACTGCCTATTAGATTTGGTGACAAGCAGGTGAGAAGCCATTCAGGCAAGAGCATCTCCGGTGAACCACTGGGGAGAGATGTCCAGAGAAGATGGACAATTTAGTTTTAGCAAAATTCTATCACATTAATTTTCATTTGTAATGTGATTTTATAATTTGTATTTTAAAATTCTGAACTGCAAAATATTTTGGATATAGTTTTACAGTTGCACTTCCTGTATTTCAATAAATCTAAGACTACACTTATGTAACACAAAGAAAAGCATTACCTTTTACAACACAATTTTTTTTTTTTTTTTTTTTTTGAGACGGAGTCTTGCTCTGTCACCCAGGCTGGAGTGCAGTGGCGCGATCTCGGCTCACTGCAAGCTCCGCCTCCCGGGTTTACGCCATTCTCCTGCCTCAGCCTCCCGAGTAGCTGGGACTACAGGCGCCCGCCACCTAGCCTGGCTAGTTTTTTTTTTTGTATTTTTTAGTAGAGACGGGGTTTCACCGTGTAAGCCAGGATGGTCTCGATCTCCTGACCTCGTGATCCGCCCATCTCGGCCTCCCAAAGTGCTGGGATTACATACAACACAATTTTATTTTAAGAGACAGGTCTGGCTGTGTTGCTAGGCTGGAGGACAGTGGCTACTTACAGCCATGCTCCCACTGCTAATCAGCACAGGAGTTCTGACTGCTGTTTCCAGGTTGGACGGGTTCACCCTTCCTTAGGCAACCTGGTGGTCCCTAGCTCCCAGGTCACCATACTGATGCCGAACTCAGTGTACACACAGGATTAGCACTGCATACTATAGCCCAGAATGGGTGGGCTCCAGCAATCTCCCACCTCAGCCTTCCGAGTAGCCAGGACTGCAGACACATGCATCATGCCCAGTGACAATGTTTTATCACCGATTGTAAGACTAATGCTCTGGCCAGGCGCAGTGGCTCACGCCTGTAATCCCAGCAGTTTGGGAGACCAACGTGGGCAGATCACCTGAGGTCAGGAGTTCAAGACCAGCCTGAGCAATATTATGAAACCCCGTCTCTACTAAAAATACAAAAATTAGCTGGGCGTGGTGGCATGCACCTGTAATCCCAGCTACTTGGGATGCTGAGACAGGAGAACTGCCTGAACCTGGGAGGCAGAGGTTGCAGCGAGCCAAGATTGTGTCGTCATTGCACTCCAGCCTGAGAAATAAAAGCGAAACTCCATCTCAAAAAAAACAAAAAAGCTAATGCTCAAACTATCAAGTAAAGGAATCAACTGTCTTCTTGAGATTGCTGCCGTGGGCAGCTGGACTGGGGCCTACCCTGTGTGGCATCTCCAAGATTTAGTGCAGGATTTACGCGGCACACGGGTGCGGGTTTCTCTGCTGTGTTCATGGCACGCAGAACAGTGTCTGCTACATGGCAGGTACTCAGGGTGTATCTGAAGGAATGTGTGCACTACACCACATACAGAAATGATAATATGCTCCCTCCAATCAGGAGGTCCAGTCCTTAAAGGACCACCCCAGGAGAGTTGAGTTGAACTTCAGTTTCTAGTACAATATGCGGTTGTAAGTTCCATTTACATAGACATAACTGGATGAACTAGGTCCCCATTTTCTGCTTAGTGTTCACACATTTTTAGACCTAAGAATAACCCAGGTAATAACAATACCGTGTTGTTAAAATTTATTTTTATGTAGAAGGTGATTATTTGGCCAGGCATAATGGCTCAGGCCTGTAATCTCAGCTACTCAGGAAGATCACCTGAGCTTGAGCCCAAGAGTTTGAGGCTATGGTCTGCACCCTAGTCTGGGTGACACAGCGAGACCCTGTCTTTAAAAAGGTGTTTGGTGGAGGTCTTCTAAGGCAAAAATTTCATCCTGAAATGACAAATGAGGCAAAACTATTTAAAAGATCCAAATTAATGACATGTGTTTTAAGAACATAATTTTTCATTAACAATCAACTGCAAAGCAAAACTGTATTTTGTTAATAAAGTCAATGGTAACATCTGCTTACGTGTTAGAAACAGCCCTGTGAAATTTCAGCTGCAAAAGGGAATCATTTAAAAAGCACTGCTCAGCTCCAAGTGTGACTTACAGACAAGGTAACAGCCACCAGGCAAATGAAATCCCTCTTCTCCTTTATAGTTGCTCCTTGGAGAGAGGGAGGCCCGTCGTCCGGGTCTGAAGGAGGCTCCCGAGACTGACACAGATCACTAAACTGCGGGGTGTTCTAGGAGAGTGACAGGCAGGGGTGTTTTCTCAATCGTCTCCTGTCTGACACAGACATCAAGCTAAGCTATGAGCAAGGGTGAACAATGCCTCTCAGCAGCTCCTCCTCCTTGACCAGGCTCCCGACCACGGAGCATTTCAGCCAAGGTTTGGGGATCTAAGGATGGAAGGAGAGAATGTGATCACTGGGGAGGAATGCCCCTCACAGACCCCCGCCAGAGCCACTCAGCTTCAATCAGCTGTAACCCAGCCTCAACACCTGCCCGTCACAGCGCAGGGAGTCCATGGTCAGCAGCCATGTCAGCACACCTCCTCCTGTGGCCACATCGTCACTGGTTTCTGGAATCCAACCTGGGGCCTTCCTGAAGCCAAGTAAGAAACTCAGGACAAGGCTTCTCTTCTTTGAAAGCCACATCAAGTAGCACAAAGGACTGAGGTTTGCAGCTATTTTATTTACAAGTATACATTAACACAATGAAATAAACACTGATATATTGAAGCCTAGTTAATAGTAGTGTAACAATATGCATCATTTTGATGATTACATTATTTTAAACAACAAACTACACTGAAAAATTAATGCCGATAAAATTCTTGGTCATAATATTAAGAAATACAATATATAAATTGAAAATATGATTGCTTAAAATTTGAAAATGGAAGTGAACTCATTTGGACAGACTCAGAGTTAACATAATCTGAAGGGAGAGGAGCTCTGACCCAAATGATATCTTTCAGGTTAACAGAAGAAAAAAGAAGCATAGTTGATCTTCAAGGAGAACGGGCAGTTTGCTTCTTCAGGTAGAATATATTCCCAGTGTCCTCGGGCTTCGCAGCAGAATCACATCACCGAGCATGAAGACTTGCCTTGTGAAGCTGCCCCATCCATTTTTTCTGCCTCCAAAATTATCCTTCTAAAAACATCAACAGCAGTCTGGAGGGAGAAAGAAACCCAATCACAGTGTCAGTGCGAAGCTGAACTCCGAGACTACTTCCCGGACTGAAGAGGGCGTGCCACTTGCCTGGCCCTCCTGCTGGTGGAGGAGGAGGGGTTCTGGTGAGCCCCAGAACTTCAGGGCCCCCCGACGCCCAGTAAGGCCACTGTCCACCTCTCCTGACCCAGACCATAACCAGCCTCCCATTGTGCTTTTGACCCTGTTTTCTTCAGGCACCAGGAGAGGCCCAAAGAGTCCTCACTCCTGGACTCACCACCATCTCCTGTCCCACTCCACCCCACGACCCCCACCCCAGTGTCCTCTGGACCTCAGAGTCCCTCTTCACTTCTGGCGCTATCTTCCCTCCAGTCCCATGGGACACACTCTCCTAGCAGCCCTTGCCTCTCACATCCTTGACTCCAAGAGGCCTCCAGTGGGGGAGGCACCCTCCGTGCTCCTGAGATGCCATGATGCCAGCCTCCAACACCTCTGCGGCATAATTCTCGGCCATTTCAATCCACAAACTGCCCTCCCTATCTCCTGGCCTCTCCTCTGCTGCCCGTCTTCCTGCCCTTAGCCTCAGCCCAGGGTCAACTCCACCAGTCCTTCACCACAAAGAGGAATCATGGCCACTTGTGGCAGGAACTCTTCTTACACTGAGGGGAGAGAAGAACTGTCAGATCCTGTCTTTTGTTGTTGTTGTTGTTATACGGATTGGAGGTTTCTATGTTGCCCAGGCTGACCTCAAACGCCTAGCCTCGCCTCCTTATGCACCACAACAGGCCTGAGCCACCGTGACTCCCCGACCCTGTCCTTTAATAAATGCAGTCCTGTGGTCATGAAAACCTGCCCCTGTTCTCAGAAGCCGCACGGGAAGTGCCCAGTTCTCCTAATCACCAAGAATCCCCCTCCCCCATCACTCCAGTGACTTCCAGTATCCCACGAAATGACAACACACCAACTGCCAGTGTCCCACCAAACCACCTTCCCAGCTCTTTTTCTCTAGCTATCCTGAAGCAACAATTCTCAGCCCCACAGGGGCCTGATTTGTTGACCCTATTATTACATCTCCCATGATCCTTAACCATTTCTTGCTGTTCCTTTCCCTCTCGGTCAGCTCAGACTCTGCAGGCCACCATGGCGCCACTGTACTTCAACTCCCTTCCCTACCAACTGTCACCGGCATGGTGCCCGCGGCCACACAGTAAACGTTGCCCAGGGAAAACACACACCGCTGACTACTGACCTCACACCCATGACCAGGAACCTGGGACAGACGCTTGGTGCTGCCTAGCCACCCAATTGCATCCCTGGGGCTGGGCACTCCCCAGAGAAAGGATTCATGCCTTGTCTCTTCTCCTCAAATGTTCCCCATCCTCATGCTCAGCTGAAAACCTTGTTTTACACACTTCACTGGAAAACAGAAGCCACATTCATGAAAGAACTCCACATCCTCCGTCCACCAAGCTGACCCACCCACTTGAATGTGGGCTCCCATCCTCAGCCTTCTGTCCTATTGCTATGAATGAGGTGTCTGTCCTCCTAGTTAACCGAAGCCAACCCCAGGTCCCACCCCGCTTGTCTAATCTAGGTCACCGGCTTCGGATCACCTGATTGACAGGAAGCAGTGTGTAGAGAAAAAAGGACTAGATGTGGATGAGATTTACAATTCAGTCTTAGTTCTTACACCACGTAAGGTAGTGGGTAATCTTAGAAGTCATTTAACCTCTCTGAAACTTAATTTCCTCACTTCTAAAATGAGGCGGTTCAACTACATGATCTGAGGGATACAGTCTGTAGGCACTCAATAGATGACTGATTTAATTCAATTTTTAAAATATAGGTATCTCTTAACTATCTCAATTCTTATTTGAATTCTGCCTATACTCAGAAACTGAGCTGACTTCAATAAATCCCTTGCTATCTGGAACTTGGGAACCAATTACACAGATCTGTTTATTCATTTTTTTCATCCACACATAAGAGGACATAATCACACGGATTCACTATCCCTCCATATCCCAACACAGGATGGATTCACTATCCCTCCGTATCCCAACACAGGACGAAGCCAATTTGACTAATATGGGATACTTGGGCTGACGGATAACCCACTAGATACTAACACACTGTGCTGAACGTTATGAAGGATATTTATGTAAATGATACTGACTCAGATCTCAGAATAAATTAAGGGGGCTAAGAGAAGAAACCACAATTTCTTTCAGCTGGATGGATCCAGAGGGGGTCAACAAGAAGGTGAAATCTAGGTGGAGCCTTGAGGACTATGAACCTCTGTCATGGTGAGAGGGGCAGAGCAGGGAAGGAAGAGTGCCAAGGCTGCTGGCTCCCGGCCCTCCCAGGGAGGAGGCACCACCTTACTACACTAGAGTTTCCTCAGAGAAATGAAAACCGAGTCATCTTACCTGAGGATCAAACACTGCCACATGTTGAAAACACATTCAAAATATAAAACCCCACATGATATAAGTAGATACTTAGAGAAGGGTTATTTTAAATCAGAGGGGAGCATGAGGAAAGGTGAGACATTTTGAAAGTGGGGTGGACAGGAGATGATGTATTTAAGGAAGGGAGCAGTTTGATGTGATTGAAAGTACAAGAATGTGGTGAGAGAAGAAACTAGAAAAGAACAAATCACTGACTGCACTCAGGACCAGGCGAAGGTTCTACGGAGAAAGGGCAGTTCACTGACAGTTTGAGTAGAGGACGGTACCATCAGATGTATGTCTTTAGAAAGTTAAGGGCAGCAAAGAGAAACATATAGATGAAAAATGCACTGGGGGCGGGAGACAAGTTTGGTGCCAGGGGTCTAAATTAAAGCAATGGAAGAAAAAGGTTCATACAGGATTGTGAAGCCTCCTGAAGCAGAATCTACATACTTCCCAGAACATGCCTTTAAAGGTACATCTACAGGGTGAAATTGGTACTAAGTGCTTATAAGATGGTTCTTAATCATTTCTATGTTAAAAATTAACACATACGTCTGACCCGGTTTCATCTAACAGAAAAAAAAGCCAGGGGGTAGGTACAGTTAAAAATTAGTGCTAATGATATAATTCTTTTTTTTTTTTTTTTTTGCTGCATGGACTTATTTCTGTATCAGTTATTAATACAAAACAAAAATACATGTTTACAAAAGGTAGTATTTCCCTTACTAATAGTTTATGTTTATCCTACAAATATCCTAGGTTCCACTGTAAGTAGAATATTGACTGAATTTATAAACACCTAAGTAGTATCTTCCTAAAGCAACACAAAGCTTGGTATTAGAAATGTTCTGGAAGGCCAAATGTTACACAGGAGTGATCAAGACAGAGGTCAAATGCCAACTGCAAGGAACACATCCCTGTGACTGATGAGAACGCAATGCAAAATGAGGTTTATAGAATCTGTTACCTGATTTTCTTTAGCAGAAGATTCCAAAAAAGCTGCATTCCAAGATTCTGCCAAAGCTTTCCCTTCTTCATAACTGATCACCCTAAAGGACAAATAAAATTCTGGTTAAAGTACTTTGCTCTTCATTATATAAAATATCTATAATTGATTTTGAAACAGGCTCCATTTTGGTCAATTTCTTTCTCATGAAGCAGAACCATGCCCTGGCCTAACATTAGCATCGAGAATGTAACACAGGAGTGTTTCAATTACGCCTGAGCTGGGGAACAGAATAGACATTGCCTTACGGGATTATCCCTGCTCCAGCAAACCTTCCAGCTCAGAGAACATGATCCTATTTTCCAGTACTCCCGTATCTGTAACAATTGACTATTTTACAGCTAGGTTTTAAGCACCCAAGGCCAGGGGAAATTGTGAAAGGGCCTGAAAGCTCAATTCTCTTGCGTGCAGGCTGTAGAGTCTCTTACTCTCTGACATGAAGCTGCCTGGGCATGGGACATCTGCCTCCTTTGCTCCCCACTGTAATCCCAAACCCTGGTACTCAAAAACCACTTGCTGCATCAATGAGCACTACGTCTTTTTAGAATTTGCTCTATGCAAGGTGGTAGATAACCTAAAGGTAGTTTTCTATAAAGTTTGCTCTCTCTTTTCTAGAGGAATGTGAGATTTCTATTGCACTTTTGCTTCTGCTGCACACGACCATAACATCTCTGAACAGATAAGAAATGCCACAGCTAAAAATATTCTTGATATCAGAACAATAATTAAAATGACACTTCAGTGACTAAATCATCTTAGACTTGACTTTAGAAATCACTAATGATTTAAAAGCTACATACCTTTCCATATGCAGGTCTTTCTTATTCCCGACCAACATAATAGGTATTCTATTTAAAAGAAAAACAAAACAAAACAAACAAAATAGTCAGTGCCAGATTGTACTGCTCAGAAGATACTATTATAAGTTTCTCTAACAAACAGATAAAATGGTACTACTTACTGTACTTTCCCCACCATATCCAATAATTTGCCATGGATAACTTTAATCACTTCAAAACTATAAAACAAAAAGTATAAATTAGACATCCATTTTAATGTTGAAGTTTTTAAAGGTATGTTATGTTGACAGCTGGAAAATGCAAAATGTCACAGACTCACCATTTTAACATAAACTGAACACAAAGAAGTCTTGTTTTTTCCTAGCAATCCATTCACATGTGCACACATCTGACACTCAGTAACCCTGACTGAGGATATTCAAAGTGAAACAGGTAAGGCATTCAGATGGAAAGCCTACCACTGGGCTGACAAACCACATAAATGCAATTTTTAATCACCCAACTTATTCAGCAAAGAACCAACTGTTTACATTACAACTTGAACAGCTTTTCCTAGAGTGCCCTAGTGCACTCAGCCTGTTCCTGTTTTCTTTCCTAGGTACATACATTCTCTGGGTGATGCCAATCTCTCTTGGCTTTCAATCAGATCAATAAGCCGATGACTCTAGGTTGAAGGTGGCTCTCACTGGGAAGGGCATCTGAGATGTCACAATGATCACTCGAAATCTGCCATAGTAGGATTATTTATACCATTGAATGCTGACAAACAGCCACAAACCATTTCCCACCCTCCCCCAAAAAACCCATGCGAACATTTGCCAGCACATCACTGGCTCTACGTTCAAATCCTACCTAGAATCTGATGGCTTCTCACTCCCCGCCACAGCTGCCACCGAGGTGTGAAATTCCTGGCCCAAGACTGCCTGCATCACAGCTACAGCCCCAACCCTTCCCTGCCACCCCTGCTCAGCACAGCAACCAGAGGACTCGGCTGCAGCAGATGGACAATGTCTCGCTCAACGTCCTCTGATAGGCGGCCATCTCTACTCGGCCCCAGTTACTCTAAAACCCTGACTTCTGCCTCCATTCCCGTCTGCCCCCTCTTCTGTTTTGTCTGAGCTGCACTGGCCTCCTGACATTCCTTTAACATCGCCAGAGCCTCTGAAGTCACTCCCCGTGTGCCTGGTATGTTCCTTCCCTAGGGATCCCTTGCTTCAAGTCTTTCCTCAAATGTCACTTTTTTTTTTCTTTTTTTTTGAGATGGAGTCTTGCTCTGTCACCCAGGTTGGAGTGTAGTGGCACGAAACTCAGGTCACTACAACCTCCGCCTCCTGGATTCAAGCAATTCTCCTGCCTCAGCCTCCTGAGCAGCTGGGACTACAGGTGCCCGCCACCACGCCCGGCTAATTTTTGTATTTTTAGTAGAGACAGGGTTTCACCATGTTGGCCAGGCTGGTCTCAAACTTCTGACCTCGTGATCCGCCTGCCTCGGCCTCCCAAAGTGTGGGATTACAGGTGTGAGCCATACAGCCTCAAATGTCACTTCTTACACCTCTTCTGTTTATCCTAAATTACAAATTCCCTATTTCTTACCACTTCTGTACTTCATTTTTCTTGGCAGCATGGTCACAGACATCCTATCTCACATGTGTGTCGTTTTACTGTTTGTCTCCCACACCAGAAATAAGTTCCACAAGGGCAGGGATTTGTCTGCTCTGTTCATGGTTGCATCACAAGCTTCGGAGCAAGTTAGCTTGTTGAATGAATTACACACTGTGCTATTTTAAACCACGTGTGCTGTCACTTTGATAAAAACAAAAATGAAATTTAACCCCCCTACAAGCTCGCTGTGGGTCAACAATGGGATATGGGTGTCCTAAGGACCTGCAGTTACATTACAGAACCACGTTTTCCTCCACATGCTGTATTTGCCTACATTTAAAAGTGTCACCACTTGGGCAAAAATACAGTACCCTGTCACGTGAGAAACGGCTGAAAGAACTGGGACTGTGTGGCAGGCAGCTTGGAGCCAGCTCTCAGAGTTCATGCTCTCCTAGGGGCCACACTGTGTGTCATCTCCCTGCATGGACATAACGACGTGCATCTAATGAACAGAATACGGCAAAGGTGACGGGATGTCCCTTTTGAAGTCAGATGGGACTGCAGCCCCTGCTGACACTCACCCTGCGGCTGCAAGAGACTGAAGTAGAGGACACAGCTAGGACACGCCCAAATTCCTGATCCACAAATCTGTGAGATCGTAAATGTGTACTGTTCTAAGTGGCTAAATTCCTTGAGATCACTGATTTTCTGAATCAAACTGGTTGATTCAGAAAGTTTTACTGATATATTTCTTGTATGTTCATAAATATTTGTGTATTCAGCATATAGGTTTCTAAAAAACAAAACACCACTCTTCTCACACTCATGTTTGAGATTTGAGAATGCTCATTAAACTACGAGCTACTAAGGCAAAAGGCATATGACAAAACAAAACACACCCATTTTAGTAAGGAGAAACTTGGTCAAAACTTGCAACAGTGCCACTGAGAGGACACAGTGTCAAGGTTTTTGTCCTCTGCTTTGCACTAGGCCAATGTTTTCTCCAATACATAAGGTCCTTGGTGAGCACATTTTCATATTTTTAATCCAGATCAACTTATTTTTCAATTTCCCCAGTGATACGTGTTATGTTTTCAACTTGATTCTATAATGTCATCTAATTTGTGCCCACCAAAGGAGATTTAAAAAAATCAGTGGACGCACTAAGAAAATTTTCTACCTACTATTTTGATGCCTCAAAGTAACAATTTGTAATGTTGGTAAAAAACACCAACATTATTTTCTAAAAATTAGCTAGAATAAAATTATACTTACCAACAACAAAACAATTTTTGAATCATGTTTTTCAAGTAAATTAGTAAAATAATGGTAATTCATAAACAAACATGAACTTCCAGCATTCATTAGATTAGTGGTACATTAAATTTGTTCTGGACAAGGCCTTACACATGGCAGGCACTGAAATGGAAAATCTTAGAATTTATCGAGCAAACGAGAGCTTAACATGAGTTATATATACAGTAAGTACATTTTAAAAATATACAACTGAAATTAAGAAAATCTTTGTACAAAAACGGCCAGTATTTTTACTATTTAAAGTGCTCGTGTAAGTCAGTAAGAAAACAATGTTTCCAAATACTATGTACACTGTGGTTTTAAGCATAAAATCCAATCTAAGCATTGCTTTTAGTGACAAGAATATGAATACATGAAAACAGGAAGAGAGATATCCATCTATTGTTGAATATGAAATATTATAAAGCTATTTACTATTTCAAACACTTGGTAATATGGAAAAATATATATTACATAGTAAGTAAAAATATAAAAACATGGAAAATATAAACCATAAAACAGCATTCAGAGAGCAAATAAAAGGATGTTAAAACAATCCATGCAGACTAAAACAAAGACCAGAAAAAACATATACCAAGATATTCCCAGTATCTATGCTTAGGTAATGAGATCAAGAATGATTACCCCCACTTTCTATTTTTCACAGTTTCCCAATTTTCCTTAAGGAACACATAATTTTGGTACTTGGTTTTGATTCAGGTGTAAACTTTCTCAGGGACTGACAGCATGGGGTCTGTTTATAAGAACGGCCGAGAATGGTACTCAAACATTTTATAGCTAGAACTCAACACCCTAAATATGTTTCTCTGCCATGGAGAAAAATGTTACCAACAACACACTCACAGAGCTGCAGACTGAATTTTCACTGGCAGTGGAGTATGTGGGGGTAAGGAACCCAGACACCGGCCAACATGGTGGCCTCCAGCCACACGTGGCTACTGAGCACCTGAAATGGGGCTACTGTAACCGAGGGAGTATGAATTTTTCATTTTTAGTTAATTTAAACAGCCACCTGCGGAACAAATAGCAAACACTTCTATCACCGCAGTAAGTTCTATCGGACAGTGTCAGCCTTGACTGTGGAACTGGAGAGATGGCTATGAATCCCAGCAACGTCATTATGTAGCCCTGGGCAAGTTGCTTTAGCTCTGTCACTCAGTTTCTTTCTATGTAAAGTGGGATATAAAACATCTCTGATGAAGGATTGTTTAAGGTAATGATGAAATAGGTAATGTATCATATGTAGGCAAAGAGCATAACAAACTCCCTAATGTGTCGCACACACTCAATAGATGCTAGGTAGCCACCAAACGCCCTCCACTGGCACTGATATTTTCATAAAGTCTTCAAACATAAGCTGTCACCAATGCCCAGAGCTCCGCTGCTGTATACAGCCAGCTGTTCTGTTAACAGACACAGACCACTGCTCCTCCTGATAACACACGCCATCCCCCGGTAAGAGACGACATGAAATATGTAGCTAAAGGAACCGACATCCATTCTTATTTATACAAATAATGGCTCTGTTTTTATGTAGTAAAGAGAGACTCTATTACCAAAAGGTCTTATTTCATAAATTCAAAGGATAAGATATTGAACAAACCCAAACCCTCAACATTTTATTAGAAAGTCTATTTCACCTTAATATGGTAAAAACACACACAAAGTAAAATCAATTTAGGCATTTCCCATTTCAATTAGCAGAAAAGCTTAGATCATGCTGAACCACTATTTTTCCAGGTAGCTCGAGGTAAGAAAGAGCCTTTTAACCTATTGATGCAACTAACAGAACATTTAGTGGGCCATGTTTTCCCCCAACAACCCAGTTGCTCCACAAGAAAATCACTAAAAAACATGTAGCCTACTAATTCTAATTGTCACTATTAATAATTCCAGCATAGTCCTTTAAAAAGATCAATGCTATCTACGAGTAGCAAATAAACTCAAGCAGGCAGCAGGAGCCTTACCTTTTGATTGATGTAACAGAATACACAAGAATATAGCCATTAATATCTATGGAGTAGGTCTGAGGAAAGATAGAATATTCATCCTGTGGAAAAAAAAATTATATTTGAGTAGTCTTCATATAGCATCACAAACAACCTTTACCCAAAGTTTTTCATGTATTACCTGAAGAAATCAAAGTAGACACAGAGTGGATTACAATATTATGCCAGAAACAGCCTACACACTGAAGCTTTAAGAATGGCTTGGAGGTGATAATGTGGTTCAAGCCAATATTTAAAAATGACTAGCTGTTCTAGAACTTTAGGGGAAAGTCTGATGACCTCCGTAACTCCTGGCAGAAGAGGATGGATGGAACATAAAGATGATTGGCTCTGTGATCTCAAAACAAGGGATGAGCATGACTAAGTCCAGAATCTTCTAGACCTCAGGACATTTATACATCCTGCTGATTTATTCCATAAATCTGTATTTTTATACTTGAAACTGTCCTATTATTTAATTTATTCTCTGCATGTCAGTCACAATGACCTGAGCTTCAATCTACAGGTTGCTAGAGGGGTGCCAATAGCATCTGGGGGCGGGGGGGAGGGGAAGGAAGGGAGGGAGGCAGGGATGGGGAGAGAGAGAGAGAGAGAGAGAGAGAAAGACACAGAGAGAGAGAGAGAGAAAGAGAAAGACAAAAGAGGATCAAAACACCAGATTCAATTGAGGTATTCAGACTTTTGGGGACCAAGAGAGTTACTTACTGAGCAACTCTAGGAATTAAAGAGAAAGGTACCTATTATGCAACAGCATAGTAGTCCTTAGTTTTATAAAGCAACATTATGAAACCTTGCTTTATATACATATTAAAGCATACAGAAAGTTCTGATGTCAGTGCAGTTTTCAACAGTACATGCTACTGTCTGGTACAAACATTTCATTCTTAGGTGAAACTAAATTGTCAACATAATACATGTCCCAAGCACTATTACGGAAAAATCACATCATGGTACCAGCAGATTAAGCAGCAGTCTATTATTTTTGTAAACTTACAGTATGGTTATAACCACTGTTTACGACAGCCCAGAATTACTGCCCTGTGGTAAAGTTCTTTAAAGAAAAAAAAAAGAAAAAAGAAAAAATTAAGTTTTACTATAAATTCTTTGATATAATAAATAAGATTAAAAACAAAATCCCAAATGATTTTAATCACTAGCTCAGCGAGAGTAGGTTCAAAGTTAAAATTCTGTTTTCCCTAAAGGGAAAATGTGGAAACATAGAAAAAAGTAGTTATGTGTAAGAAGCACTGAGTGAAAAACTACCAGTTAGAAGATATAATGGAGGAAAGAGCCCCTAGCTGATATAATTCTGATTTTTTTTTTTTTTTTTTGAGACGTAGTTTTGCTCTTGTTGCCCAGGCTGGAGTGCAATGGCACTGTCTCAGCTCACTACAACCTCCATCTCTCAGGTTCAAGCGATTCTCCTGCTTCAGCCTCCTGAGTAGCTGGGACTACAGGCTACACCACCACACCTGGCTCATTTTTGCATTTTCAGTAGAGATGGGATTTCACCATGTTGGCCAGGCTGGTCTCGAATCCCTGACCTCAGGTGATCCGCTTGCCTCGGCCTCCCAAAGGATTACAGGTGTGAGCCACTGTGTCCGGCCTTTAAAGTCTACTTTCTGAGAAAGAATAATAGCAATATAGTAGAAACTGGGAGGGCAGGTGAGTAGAAACCATAAAGCTCTCATAAAATAATACTGTACTGGCTCACAAATAGAACAGACTGAAAAATCTAGAAAGACCTGATAGATATGAGAATGAGGTACCTGATAATATTGGCATTTCAATCAGTGAGGACCAAAAGTAACCCTCAACTGAGCGTAGAGGGACACCTGGGGATGAACGGCTAAGCTGGATCTCCAATTCACACCTCGGCAAAAACATATTCCAGACGAAGCAAAGATTTAAAGATAAAAACGATGGGCACAATAGATGCGAGAACTTAAAACGTATTACCAGTTAAAAAAAGATTAATAAATGAAAAAGTTCTTCATGGTTGCAAACCTCTCTAACAAAAACCATAAATAAAACACAAACTGAAAACAAAACTGTGCATCTCAGATCATATACAAAATGCTAATTTTCTTCACATATTGAGGGGGAATCTCATATCAACACGCAAAGACTAACCACCCAATAGAAAAAAAATGGCAAAGTACACAGACAGGATAATTCATAGGGGAAAAAAAAAATACAAACATCTTCCAACACAGGAAAAAATCAAAGCCCCTCCTAAGAAGAAAAGTGCATTATTAAAAGTACACTAGGGTGCTATTTTTTACCTATCAGATTGGCAAGTACCAAAACGTTTGGTTAACACACAGTGCTGCTGAAGGTGTAGGGAAACAGACACTCTCATTCACTGCTGGCAAGAACATGAACTGTAACCCTATGATAGCCCACATCCAGGAAGTTTTCCTATGTGCATCACTACCCTATGTGTAAAACAACGTCTGGGACGTTCGTTAAGGGATTGCTGATGGTAGCAAGATGGGCAACAGTCTAACTGTTGATCAGCAGTTAACTTACAATATATATCCCAACAACTGGATATTATGCGGCCTTGGGGAAAAGAGAGGCCATAGGTATTGATATGGAATAATCTCCAAGATGGAGATGTATTACTCTTTGTGTAAAAAGGAAAAAAAAAAAACAAAACCAAGCTTAAAACTATATTTGCATATTCATGTATCAAGTATCCTAGAGGCATATACTAGAAACTGGTAAATGGGGTTGCTGGCAGGGGTGGGGGGTTAGATAGCTAGGGTAGGAACGTCTTAAGTTTTACTATTTACACATTTTTGCACTATTTTTTTTGTACTATGTGCATTACACCTATTTTTTAAAAATTAAACTTAATTTTCAAAATAGCAAATTTGGTTACATTATAAGATGGATTGTCATTGAATCAATTTTTATTATTTATTTATTTATTTATTTATTTATTTATTGAGACGGAGTTTTGCTCTTGTTGCCCAGGCTGGAGTGCAATGGTGCAATCTCGGGTCACTGCAACCTCTGCCTCCTGGGTTCAAGCAATTCTCCTGCCTCGGCCTCCCAAGTAGCTGGGATTACAGGCATGTGCCACCACGTCTGGCTAATTTTGTAGTTTTAGTAGAGACAGAGTTTCACCATGTTGGTCAGGCTGGTTTCCAACTCCTGACTGAAAGTGATCCACCCGCCCCGGCCTCCCAAGGTGCTCGGATTACAGGTGTGAATCTAAGTTATTAACCAATTTATGCCGGAGGTTGCACTTATTTTTTTTTTTAATGAAAAATCAGACCTTGGTGACCTTGATCAGTAGGATATAAATAACTTCCATAAGCTTAGCATTCCAATAACGGAACACTAGGCATAAATAGGTAATAACACAGAAGAGGCTACTTTTTTTTTTTTTGATACTTCACATTCTTACCCCAAAATTCATTTAGGGTACATGCTCTCACCCTAATATTGGGCAAAACCAAAATATTTCATGCAGTCTAAAAATAATCAATCTGTATTTAACTATGTTCATCATTATTCCTAGGTCGGCAATTAAACCACTATTAAAGCATAGTGGTATGGATGTACTGACATAAACCACGAAGTAGTAAATAGAACTTGCTAACAAATACTGCTATGCAGCAATTCACCGCATGCAATTTCATTCCTGAAATGTGGAAGCAGCTAGTGAACAAATTTACTACAGAGTACTTTTAAAATAATTTGCCTCTTAATCATCTTACCCTACTACTACTAGTCTTAATCCCAGAACTAGCCCCGTATGCATCTAATTTATAAAGCAGCTCTTGGAGCAGTAAACATCTGAGTTTTGTTCTCATCCAGTTTTCAACAGAATGAAGGGTGAAACTACGGCAGGACATGCCTGCGCGTCACTGTCCTGAGCTGTAAATAAAGAGCACATCTTTAATTTATTGTCCATCAACTGTAAATATAACCTTCAAGAACTACTAGTTGCAATGAGTACAAATGATTTAAAGTAGCCAAATTTGGATATATTTTGTGCAAAAATTCTCCAATTACTCTTACCCAGTTGTAATAGAACCCAAAGAGGCAAGACAACAGGGCTGCTAATATGATCACTGCTCTTGTCTTATCTCATATACTCTTCCTAAACACTGGTGCTTTTGGTTTCACTATTTGTATTATTATATCACTAAAATATTTTAAATTGTTTGATACCTGAGTGTACATTTATGTTCTAGGGCAAAACAGTACCTCAGGGGAACACATATTCCAACTTGATAAGTAGTCAATATAGAGAAATTTATTCTTTAGAGAAATCTTTTCAAAGACAGCTCTCCAAGTATTAAGAACACGTGCACTTCCACCACGCAGCCTGTCAGCACAGTTAATATGCTGGTGTCACACTTGCCTCAGCAGCACTAAAGGTCTACAGAGAAAGAGCACATCCGCTTCAACCCCACTGTGATAATCCTCCAACAATTCCAGTTATCACTATTTACAGATAAAGCTCTGAGACATAGAAAGACTTCTTCACCCTTTAATTTAAAGAGATGGGATCTCACTCTGTTGCCTAGGCTGGACTGCAGTGGTGCTATCACAGCTCACTGCAACCTCAAACTCCTAGGCTCAAGTGATCCTTCCACCTCCCACAGTGCTGATATTAAAGTCAGCATGAGCCACCATGCCCAGCCCTCATTAGCTTCCTTAAGGTTACTGGGTTAGCAACAAAAGCCAAGATTCAAATCCAGGCAAGTGTGACTCCAGGGCCCACACTCCAAACAGTTATGAAACTGGTTCCCTGAATTGCCTGATACAAAACGTGTTTCCAGAGTAACATTATATGAAAGTGATTTATCAATTTACATTCTCATCACCAGTTTTCAGGAGCTTAAAGAAGATTCTAAATAAGGATACAAAAGCAAACTGAAGTCCCACAATAAACTGAACAGCTGTATTTCTTTGCCCAGGATACTCTAAGTTACACTGTTGCCCAACGTAATTATTATTAGCACCCCCAGTCCACAACTCTAAGTGTCTTGGTTTAGGCAATAAATTATATAGTCAACTTAACTATAAAAGAAAGATACGAAACCCAACAACACAACACTCAAGTGGCTCTTCCCTTCCCAACTAATGTCTAATGAGCCTTGTCATCTGTGCCATGCCCCGCCCCCCCAACAGAGACTTACACTGCTCCCCTGGTCCATATAAGCCCCAACTCCTATTCTTCTGTCAAGAGGACAGGTATCAGGGAGTGAAAGTCTAGGATGGCTCTGTTCTAATGAAAGCATCAAGAATCTGACTGCTAAAGCACATCACATCCACCGCCAGCCGGGAGTGTGTAGGGTGAGTGAAGGAGGCACATGCTATAGCTCTGTGTACAAGCTCAAAGAGCCAAACACATTTATTTTCTTCCAAGCTTCCAAAATGGAAACCTCAGGGTTCCTCCAATGCTAACATCACTCAATATAGCTATCTTCTTGCTTCGCTAAGGCGTCACACTTTCCTTCTATGTTCACTTCAAAACACAAAGCAGAGGGAATTCATTCCAAACCCACAGGACAGGTCATACTATTCTGGGTCTACTCCAATTTCCCCAGATTCCAGGAAAAAAGCCCCCATTTAACACGGCAGACCAGATCACACTACACTCACCCTCCTGCTACTCTTATCCTTTGACTATAAGTCACAAGGGTGGACCAGGCATGGTGGCTCACGCCTGTCATCCTAGTACTTTCGTAGGCCAAGGCAGGCGAATCACCTGAGGTCAGGAGTTTGAGACCAGCCAGGCCAACATGGCGAAACCCCGTCTCTACTAAAAATATAAAAATTAGCCGGGTGTGGTGGCGTGCCTGTAATCCCAGCTACTTGGGAGGCTGAGGCAGGAGAATTACTTTAACTCAGGAGGCACAGGTTGTAGTGGGATAGCGCCACTGCCTTCCAGCCTCGGTGACAGAGCAAGGCTCCGTCTCAAAAAAAAAAAAAAAAAAAAAAAAAAAGTTGCAAGGGCAGGAGTTAGGAGCTGAAATCCCAGCTTCTTTACATTCCTCACCCTCCAGTGAAGAAGGGTAAATTCAGTCTAATAGAATGGTTTCTAGTAAAAGCAGGCCTGGATGTCATGGTAATGGGGCAGCTAAGCTGTCAAAAGGGCTTTTCTTTGTTCCATGTACTCCTTTCCCCCTTGCTTCCAGTCAATTCCCCTGGTGATCCAATTCCACACATCCCTGCTACATTAACCAACATGTGAATATCCTTTCTGGGGGGATTATTTGACTTTTGGCCATTACCTACTGTCTATCAAATAAATTGAAACTCCCTCACCTAGTAATCACTCTGAAATCCACCCACCCAGAGACTCTACTACGTAAACTAAACCCAACACTCAAACCAGAGCCTAGACTCTAATCAAATTGGTATTTTACGGCCCAGGTCCTCATAAGATTAAATCAGCTAATTTCTACCCTATGCCCCTCTTATGCCTTTCCTCTAGAAAAGATGTACTTTTGCCCTAATGTAGGAGAACACATATCACAAAGAGAAAGAAAGCAACTCATATGACTCTCTAATATAAAGTTTAGAAAACAGAAAACCACTAACCTGTAATAAGTATTAACCCTTACAATGTTAGTATATTTAAAGTAATTTTAAAGCAGAAAAACAAGTTATTAAAAGAAAACTGCCAGAAATGTCTTAGAAAAGACCAAGTACACAGCACATTAACATTTAGTTATGTACGCTCCTCGACTTATGATGGGGTTACATCCCAATAAACCTACTATAAACCAAAAATATCATGAGTTGAAAATGTATCAAATACCTCAACAGACCCATCATAAAGATGAGAAATTGTTAAGTTGAGCCACTGCAAGCCAAACCATTGGGAGTCAGGGACTGTCTGCACACAACACGAGGGGTTTTCCTGGCATAGCTGGTACTTTCAGAAATCAGTGCTAGGACCAGGACTGTCAATATGCTGTATAAGATTCTGAGATACCAGAGGTCACTTACTTGCCCAGCTGTGTCTACAAGTTGAAGATGATATTCTTGTCCATTTACTGTGATCAACTTTGTAAAAGCTACAGGGAAAAAGGGAATTAAACATTAGTTTTTAAAAATTAACTCTAAACCACTTAAAGTTTGAACAATGACAACCAATTAAGCACAGAGTCCCTAGCAGTCTCAGAGAAAGGCCCCATGAAACAAAAAAGAACAACTCCCTGACTTGTATAGATTCTCCCCTACTTCCATTATTTAGCTAGGAAACACGGTGACTGGCTAAAATCAAGCTTGGTAAACCTTGATTCTTTTTCAAAGAGACAAAGTACGCAACAATTCAATCCTATAATAGTAATTTCAATGCTCTGGGGCAAATCCTTCCTCTTGTGAAAAAGTGAAATATACTACATAAAGTCTGAGCTCTAGAATAAACCAAAACCACAAAAATTTTCCATTAATTTATAGGAAGTCTGGCATCAGAGCACAAAGAGCTAATATTAGTTGAAGTGCTAAGAACTTTTAGTACATAAAAAAAGTAACAGTTTTACTGACGGATAAAACAGCAATGAAACAGATGTTCTATGTTGAAGCCATCCTTCCCACTTAAGCTTAAAGATCCAAGCAATTTGTCACAACTTCTTTTCCCTGACAAGGGAGGAAAGAAAATCAGACTTGAATAACTTCCGGAAAAGTCAATTCAGAATTTGAGGGAGACAGACTTCAAGCAAATATAGACAAAAGAGGAAAGAACTACTAACAGAAACAATGTAAAAATAACCACCTGGAACCCTGACAAGGAAGTGGAACAGATTTCTCTTGCATACCCGCCCCAGCTGTCCTGACTCACGATGAGTCCTCCAATCTCCTGACTGGCCGTCCTATGTGACCAGAGCCAGGCTGCAGAATCTATCCCTCATACAACTGAGAGAGGTCCCACTTTGCCCACAGCAGAAAGGCAAAGCTGACACAGACAAATGGAAATTAAGTGAGAAAACTCTAAGTAATAAAGAGGATTGACTGGAGATCTTATCTGAATTATATGAGTTCCACAGGGAAAGAAAAGATGGCCGAAAGACAAGCAATCATCACAGAGAATCATATTAGCGTCACACTTTTCTAATACAAGCAGGGGTGCCAAAAGTCAGGTGAGTAAAGATTACAGACCACATGATGAAATCAATGGCCACACTATATTATGCTTATACCTTTTCTGGAAGTTATCACTTTTAGGAAACAGTTAAATCAGATGGAAACTGAATCGGAATATTTCAAGCTGAGGGGATACCCAATATAACCTATTTCATCAATTCTAAGAAAGAACTCAGATTTGTTTTTACACCGTATCCTCTCTGCTTGGGATGCATCCTGCACCCCTGGAGCTTTCAGTCCTTGTCAGCCAGAGTGCAGTCACTATAGAGCTGTGTGAAAACCTTTAGTCAGATAAATTGAAGTGTATTTCAGATTTGATGAGAAGTATGTAAGAAACACTGGTGAGCAATAAAACCAGTGACCTTCAATTAGAACTAAGTAACTGTGGTTATCAAGTATAATTATGATGACAAGGTTACTGAAAGGAAACATCATTCATTCATTCATTCGTTCAAGAACAATTTCTTGAGTGCGTATTATCACCAGTAGCACTGTTGTGGGTGCTTGGGATGCTGTAGTCTCTGACACTCTGTGAGCTTAGATCCCAGGGAAGGAAAGAAGATACAGACACACATGTACCCTCCCACCCTCTCGGGTATCTTCCCTGGGAGTGGAACATCCAGGCAGAGGTTAAACAGCAAGTGAAAAAAGCAAAAAAGTCAATGCAACTAAAGCTGAGGGAGAACGGTAGGCAGCTAACTAGGATGGACAGGAGGCAGAAGGTCCTACAGAACTTGGGATTTTTACTCCGAATGTGAGGAGAAACCAAGGAAAGATCACTCTGGCTACACTGTATATAACAAAAATGGTCCCAGAGATATTAGGCAGGAGCCCATGATATAGTGACCAGTGTCATGACTGTATAGACTATCACAATCTATAGGTGACACTGGCCTGGATTAGAGATGCAGATATTCTGGAAGTATTTCAGAGGCAGAACCAAAAGGATTTTCTAATTGACTGGAGGTGGGATGTAAGAAAATGAAGAATCAGGATGACTCCAAAGCTTTTTTAAGATGCCACTTACAGATACAGGAAAGACTAGGGGAAAAATACTAGGGATGGGAGAGGAAGGGAATTGAGAGTTGGGTTTTAGGGATGTTTTGGGATGCTTATTAAATACCAAGGGGAAATGCAGGCAGTTAAATAAAGAAGCCCAGGATGTAGTGGCTTATGCCTGTAATCCCACTTTGGGAGGCCCAGGCAGGAGGACTACTTGAGGCCTGGAGTTCAAGACCACCCTAGGCAACATAGTGAGACCCAATCTCCACAAAAAAGGAAAAACTGCTCCAGCATGGTGGTTCACGCCTGTAGTCTTAGCTACCTGCAAGGCTGAGGCAAGATCATTTTAAGTCCAGGAATTCAATGTTACCATAGCTATAATCATGCCACTGCACTCCTGCCTGAAGGACAGAGTGAAAGACCTTGTCATGTAAAATAAAATAAATTATAAAATAAAGCTCAGAGCTGGGGGGAGAGGTTGGGGTTGAGAATACACACTGGTGAGTCAATAGCAAATTAAAGAGAGGGGAAGATCACTTGAGAGCAAGTGCAGAGGAAAGGCCTGAAACAGGGCACCCCGTGTTGCCAAGTCAAAAAAATGCAGAAGATTCGGCCAAGAAGACTGTGAAAGTACTGGCTCACCAGTGAGGTAAGAGAAAAAGGGTAGGAGATGTCATTGTATATAGTGTATAAAAGAAAAAACAATTAATAAACATTGGCATCTATCTTTGCATGTAAAAAGAATGTAACTTGTCCTACTTGTAGCAGTAAAATGAAAAAGAAGACCTTCCATCTTGCTGTCATAGGAAAACTGCCAGTTTTTGTTACTATAGAAAAAAGGGAGGTATAATAAGAGATAGGATAGACTAGGAAATAATTCTACTCTCTCTCATTTTAACCTCATGTCAAAATGGAAAGCTGGCTTTCTTCTGACATCACTTTCCTTGAGCCCCCTTCTCTCTGCCTCTTTGAATCACCAGAGAATCCCTTTCCAACCTAAACCCCTGAAATTCTCCTAAGTAGACTAATAGCTATTTACTAGTAAATGCTACTAACCAAGGTCATAGAGGTTTCTAAAATTTGGTGTTCACAGAGCAAGATTTGTGTTACTAAAGTGTGGTGAGGACTCTTCTTTCATACTCTACTGAGAAGTCCACACCCAGGACGCAATGCCTTGAGAATTCTGCAACACCTAACTGCAATCTCCCAACTTCCTGAGAGGAAGGCGCTTATCATTCACCAACAGTGCTACCTGGAGATGGCAGAAGTTGGAAATTGCTGCTATGCTTGCTTTTTAATTATAAACTACCACTAGCTTAATTTAATCCTATCAATTTAGTTTGTATTGAGTTGTTAGATTAACACTGCAGTAGATAATGAAGTATATTTGCATAAGTAGTACTTCTGCTTTAAAATTTCCCCAAACTAGAAAATATGTGGTTTTACTGATATTGTTCTCCTACACCCCTACTGTTAAAGATGACACAGTCCCAGAATTTTTGCTCTCACCATGACACTTCACTGAAATGTGTCACCTCTGAGTGCTTGCTATAACAGCTTGTTCTAATATTATAAAGCGTAAAATAACTACTAAATTATTTCCAGATTTACAGTTTTTTAAAATCATAAAACCACCCACTTATTTATCTTGCTGGCAACAAGTTCATGATAACCTTTTCTTTTCTTTCCAATTCATTGTTATCACTGAACAACGAATGTTTTTCTACCAAATAGTGGAAGAAACGTTGGACTAAGGGCTCCTGCCCTGTGTTAGGTTATCAAAACTGTAGTAAGTGGAATATAATGTCTGAATATGCCTCACGAACTTTTAATGGATACATATTCATATTTATTTCTGCTCTTGCCTACAGACTTTAACAAGTACTCTGAATTCATTTTTGAGGTGAAGAAAAGTCTTCATTATTGAACTGTAAGATGAGAAAAATTTAAAATACGACCAAAGATGATGCTGATAGCCTCAAAAAAGTAGGGTCATATTACTCTGTTTCTGAGATAACATCAAGTTACATAAGTTGGACTTTCTTCTGATCCATTACTAAGATAATGTATGTATGTACAGCTCCATGATACACAACTCCATGACTTTCCTTCCAACTCAATTTCTATTTTTGAGACCACATCTTGCTCTGCTACCCAGACTGGAGTGCAGTGGCGTGATTACAGATCACTGCAGCCTCAAACTCCTGGGTTCAAGTGATCCACCTGTCTCAGCTGAGACTACAGGCACACTCCATCATGCCCAGCTAATTCCAGTTCAGTATGAAATGGTATGAGGATACATATACAATTATCCACTTTTAGAGGCAGAGCTTACGAAGAAAACAATCTTCTATTGTTCTATTAATACAATTCCAAAATGAACCTTATTATTTCAAGGATCTAAAATCCTAAATTGCTATGTATAGCAAATATTAAAGTCTGAGATAATGATTTCCTTATGTTCTTATTCCAGTGGACAGAAAACCGAGCTTGTTCATCTAGCACTCACATTAATCTGCTCTTCACACTTGCTTACTACGATATAATGACTAGCCAGACAAATCATAGGATGTAATCAGGACTCCTCCCTGCGGATACCCAGAGGTTACTTTCAAATATAACACCTTGAAAGGTTACTTTCAAAAATATTCCCAGAGTTAGTCTATCAACCAATTGGTTTCCTTCTCTGCTACCAGTACACTGACACACAAAGGACAGCCAAATATTTTAAGTAAGGGGTGAGGAAACTTTTTCTGTAAAGGGCCAGATAGTACTAGTAAATATTTTAGGCTTTGTAGGCCACCTGGTCCCTGCTGTAACTATTCAACAACTCTGCCATTGTACACAATGTAAAGGACAACATGTAAAGGAACAAGCATGGCTGTGTATCAATAAAACTTTACAGACGTTAACATTGGAATTTCATATCATTTTCACATCAGACATTATTCTTCTTTAGACTTTTATATATTATGCTTAAATGTAAAAACCTTTCTTAGCTCTTGCTCTGTACAAAGACAGACAATGGGCAATGGGCCTTTCTGGCCTGCAGGTGGTTGTCTGCCAAGCTCCTTACTTTAAGCCAAAGCATTCAAGTGATTCTCTTCTCTTGCAAACCTCTGGCAGGTGAAATCTACCTCATGCATAATATGCCAACCAGGTGTTGATGAACCCCCATGTTTAAATCTACATGTTCCTGGTGACAAATCCTAGGTAAGTCCTGGTCTCAAGAATCTGAGAAAACTAGTTCCAGGGCCCACCTGTGGTTCTAAGCCCGAAAAGACCAGCTTCCCTGTTTCAGATTCTCCTTAGCGATCCCTAGAATCAAGATCTGTCTCAAAGCTGGGCACAGTGTCATATGCCTGTAGTTCCAGCTACTTGGGAGGCTGAGGTAACAGGATCATTTGAGTCCAGGATATTGAGTTCAGCCTGGGTAACACTGTGAGACCCATGTCTCTTTAAAAAAAAAAAAAAAAAATTGTCTCATGGTCCTAGAATCCATCAGGAATATGCTGAAACCACGGATTAAAATTGAACAAAGTAAAGGTCATAGCTGGTTCTCTCTTCCCTGCTTTTTTCTGCACATGGCCTAAAATGTCAACAGGCTTTTTGAGCCAACTTCTTTTTAATGCTGCAACTGCTCTAACCAATCCCAGAATAGTTCATTTCTCTTTCAAATCTTTAGGGCTGGAAAGAAGGATATAGAGAAATGGGGGCGGGAGTATGGCGTCTGTAAGAATAAGGAACAGCGATCTGGAGTGTTTTTCATTCTTTCAAGCTTGGAATCCCTGGAAACTGCAATGGCTGGGAGGAAGGGGGTGTGGGGGAAAAGACTGTGTTCTCCACTCCTGTTTTTGAGCAGATTCTGGAATACGAAGCTTCCAGTAATGGGCCAGATTCCTACTGACTTGAATTAACAATTTCTAGATGGCAAGGCATGCAGACATGGAAGGAAAAAATCTTTCAGGGTAAAGTAGGTAAATCTTTTGCAAGTTTTCTTTGACCCCAATCGGGAGACATACAGAATTTACCTTCTGCACTCAAAGCCTCCATGAATACACAATGGCTATTTTACACAAAAGAAGGCTTCTCAGTTTTTAAGTACTTGAAAACAATACTTACTGTTTTCTATGGTTGGATCGTAGGAGTCCACAAATTGGCCTTCAACAAACTGAATCGTCAATGAGGATTTCCCTATAAAGGAGAACAAGAGCTTAGTGTGTGTTGGCATATGAAGGTAAAAATTTTTAATTTTGCTGTTTCATTAAAAAACCACTAATAGATGAAGAAGCTGAAGGTATTAGGGTCAGAAAACATTCCTTTAATTAGCATTTGGGCAATTTCAAAAAATGAAATAAATTTCATTAATTTGCTTTATATGAGGATATTATGCAATTAAGCTATTACCAAGTAAACTTGTCTGTGACATTAACAAATATTACTGACCAACAAGCACATCAGATATTCTGTTAAAGATAAACTAAAAGGTTTAAAGTAAGCTAATTTCCTCTAGTATCCTTGGAATCTTGCTATTTAATGTTAACATGAAAATTAAAACGATTAGTTTCGTTGTATTCTTTCATATATGACCACTAGAAGTGTTACCAAGTACAGCTTTTAAAAAGAGTAATACGGCCAGGTGCCATGGCTCATGCCTGTAATCCCAGTACTTTGGGAGGCTGAGGCAGTTGGATCACCTGAGGTCCGGAGTTTGAGACCAGCCTGGCCAACATGGCGAAACCCCGTCTCTACTATATTCTTAGTAAATTAGCTGAGTGTGGTGGTGGGTGCCTGTAATCCCAGCTACTTGGAAGGCTGAGATAAGAGAATCGCTTGAACCCAGAAGGCAGAGGCTGCAGTGGGCCAAGATCACACCACTGCACTCTAGCCTGGGCAACAGAGCAAGACCCCGTC